ATCTTGACAAATCTAATACTCAACTTCATTTGTTCATGAGTGGTATGCAAAAACTCGACAATCTGTTAGGGATGAACAAGCCTACTGGAAATAGGCATGGTCTGTGTTACGTTGAAAATGGTGATACTACTGCTAATACATCCAAGACCATGTTCGTCCCAGCCACTAGCAACGCTAGGAATACTGTTAATCCTGAACCCAAGGGCACGAATAACTTTGGATCAAGACCTACTAGATAACGTAGGGTCAATCACCTATCGTCAACAACCTTCAACTAAGTTTGAACCTAGATTTATTCTCACTTGTCACCAATTGTGGTGCATTGGGACACACATGACCTAGATGTCGTAAACTTGTGACTAGGAGTAAAAGTAAGAATTTCTCTAGCAAGGTTGACTTTCTCGCTAAACAGGTTAACCATTTAATTGAGATGATGACTTAGTTAGCTAGAATCACTTCTACTTGTAAGAAAGTTTAGGTTAAAAAGAGTGGCCTGGAAGGTCGTAAGATTGATCATGCACTCAAAGGCAACAACATCCATGGTTTCCCTTGATTAGTTTCTTAGGTGCATTGAGTCCATTCATTCCTGATGTATCTCACTTATTTGTGTTTTGTTTTATTTTAGTTTGTACTTATTTTCTTTAGGTATTGATATTTTAAAAAAATGCGTCTAGACATTTCTTGGTGCTCTTAATTATTGCATTTTTGACCGAGTATGCATTCATTTGATCTATACTGTTATTTCCATTACTTGGTTTGATTTACGGTGGAGTATGGAATATATGTTTCTTTATGTATCATCTGCACTACACACACTGTGATCTTGTAAGTGAGTCTGGACCGTATATATGAGATTTGGGATGACTGACATCTGTTGATAAGGTGACCTTGAACGTGAATTGACCTTCATATTGATGACCTAAGCTCATATATTGCCCCCATAAAAAAAAATTTATTTGGTTCATCTTATACTCGTGTTTGAAGCCTATTTGATTCGAGTAATTAAGTCCGAGGAGTTTCTCATAACCTGGTGCCTATGATAAATTGACTTGGGTTAATCGGCCTAAAACTCGTTACATGGGTCATTTAATCGCTTAATAGACAAGAGTCTGCACATAAGATACAATATTTGCGAAAAATGACATTAAAAAATTATATGCTCATATTCACTAGGATAAAATGAAAATATCCATGGAATTGAGCTCACTTTAAGCTCCCTCGCTCACTTCTCGCTCGACCCTTGCTGGAGCGACAATCGTATATTTAAATTTTAACATTGTTTTTCAAGGATTTTACACCAAATTTCACATTTTTTATTCCATTTCTCTCAAATTTCACCCACCCAAATCAAATTGGTGGTTTTATCAAGCTCGTCTCATCTAAAATCAATTCTTTGTGGTACAAATCCATTGATTCCACTTAGTTCAAAGGTTCATTTCTAAAACCCTAGTTTTTTTTTGTTTTTGCAATTATTTTCGGATTTTTCGATATTTGCCCATTCTTGCTTCTATGTTTGGCATTTCTATCTCATGTTTTATTCATTCTCATACATTTTCATCAATTAGTGCACAATTTTGAACAAAAATTGGATATTTGGACTGCTGTGGGCTATTTTCCCGCGAATTTTCTTTTTGTTCTTCATTGTTTTTGCATTTGTTGCTCTTTGGCCTTTTAGTGGTGGAATTGGGATGGTCTTTGATTCTTAATTGGAGGTTGTTGATTGGAGTGTTGGGATTGTGGAGATGTGTGTGTTCTCTTTGAAATGTTGGGAGTATGTTTTTCATTTTTGGTCCATTTTTGGCGTAAGTTTTTGATGTTTTGTTGTTTAAGGGTTTTTGGTATGTGATTATGTTAGTTGATGTAGTTTCGTTGAAGAGGTGGTTGCATTAGTCATCTTGAACTTGCACACGAAATGTGATTGTTCTATTATTTTTGGTGTTGACATCGTAAGGTACTGCCACGTCACCGTGACATGCTATCAAGGCACGCGTCATGTCCTCACGTCACCTCTGTCTAGGCATCACAGCACATTTATGTTCATTCATCCTCAGGTGCATTACATATGTCATGTTTACCTCAGTTTGCATGCATTCATGCCTCTCATGCATATCATATGTTCAATCGTGGTATTGATATATTAGTTTTACCCATTTCAGATGTCGTCTAAGAGGGCTCGTATTGCTACTGCTTCGACACTGGCACCTCCTCTTCATATAGTAGGTCTACGTTTATATCTGCAATAGTCTAAGATACTTTTGGGTCGCGATTTTCGTTATGGCCCGTTTTGTTTGAGCGTGAGGTCATTATGTCTGATCTGTCTCCCGACCTTGCTGCTATTTTCACATCCCGGGGTCGGAACCATTGTTGGTTAAGCTGATCCCTCCGCTTAGTCTTCTTATTCACGAGTTCTATGCTAACATTCATGACGTTAGCAGTTCGTCTTTTAGGGTCTTTCTTAAAGGTAAGACCATTAAGATCACTCCTGATGTTGTATCTAGCATAGCTCATATCCCAGAGTCGTCCACCCCTTATTTCCATATTTGACGTCCGATACTTTTCCGGCGAACTCTCTAGTCTGTTCGACGGTGTTTAACACACAGTTGGAGAAAAGTCCTATACGATCCGCACTGACTCTCTTCCTGTTGATCGCCAGATTTTGTTGCGTATTGTGTGCATGAATATTTGGCCCGTGTCTTATACTTCTTCATTACCCATGGAGAAGGCTCAATTTTTGTACGTCTTGTTACATGGTGATTCCTTTGATTTACCCTTGTTCATTTGCCAACAGATTTTGCGCTCTTAGTCACAGGGATGATGGTGGGGTTGCCTTATGCTTTCTTGATATATAGGTTAGTGACAGCCCTAGAAGTGAGTTTTATAGAGAGGGTTCCGAGGCGGGTTTCCCCGGCCGATTGGCCATACCACAATTACTTAGAGTAGGTCACATGCTTCTTCTGAGCCTGTTGACCCGACTGTGCGGGCTGATTCTATAGATGACCTTATATCTTTTGATCCGTCGAATTTCCTTACTTTTTCCTATGCTCCTCCATCCTCTGATATTCCATCTTCTTCCATCTCTACTCCTCCTTCCATTGCATATGTCCCTCCACTTGTTGATATTTCTTCTGTTCCCATTGATCCATCGGTTTCTCTTATGGGCCAGATGATCGTGCTGATCGAGCAGTAGGCTCGGATGATGGTAGAGCTTAAGCAGTTGCGAGCTACAGTTGATCGACACATTACCGAGTTACTATGCTTCGGGGTGCTGTTGGGTATCTTCAGCGACGGCTGCAATGGATTCGTCACCATTGGGATGATGATGCAGCATCGGATGAGGGGACAGATGCTTAGTTGATAGGTTGCCCTTTGTCATTTTGTGACAAAAAGTGGAGTAGTTAGTTGCATATATCTTTGTTGGAGTAGTTTTTTAACTACTTAAAATTTAACTACGTGAACTGATGTATCCAAAATTATGATTATATGATTAAATGATAAATTTCGGTATTGCTAAATAAGTTTTGATGTTTTGTAGTATCAATATTTTGTTTTGGTATGTTGGGTTACATTAATATTATGTCTTATTTTAGCTAATGATATATAACTGAATTTTACACTATGAACTGCTTGAATTGTATTTACACTTAACTGTTTCACATGCATTTTACACAGGTACTTAAGTTGTCTATTTCAAGAAATAGGTTTTGATATATGAAAAGTAGAGTTCGATCAAGACAGTTTTGGTTGTGTCAGTTTTTTAGTATGTATTTTTTATTACTGGCTTGACTTTAGATTGTAGTATTGTCATGAAATGTCAAATGGGGAGCTTGTTAGGTATTCAATATAATTGGCTTCAGACACTTGTTTTACCTGAATTTAACATATGTTATAAAAGTCAATGAGTAATGTACAAATTGTAGAAAGTTGCGTTATATGAGGTCTAGAGTTCGGGAGAATGGAAAAGAATCAAAAATGGCACCGGAATATCGCTAGCTTATTGCCAAAGTTTGGCTCAAGCGTCAGAAACAGAAACTGTGTCGCCCACCTATTGCCTAGCCTTCGCTCGAGCTACAACATGTCTCTCGATGTCGCTCACTCTTCGCTTGAGTGATAGTGCTATCCAGGAATTTTTTTTATTCATTTTTTAAAGGTTTTTTGTCCGACTCATTCATTCCTTAACCTAACTTATAAATACCAAACGCCACAGAACGGTTTTTCTAAGGTTGATCATTGAGCAAGCACTTAGCTTTTCATATTCTATTCATCAATTACTCTTCAACCTTCAGTTATTCACATAGTGATCTGTTTTTGCAGTGAGAAAAACATCAATTTCATAATCTAAATACCAAACAGCTACTTCCTTCATATCTGTCAGAGTTTCTGAAAATCAAAAGAATGTGACTGGAGTTCCAATCGTTGAAGAACGTGATGTTCTTCGTGCATCCATAGGAGATAGACGATTTCACCAAGTTAGGAGCTGCTGCAAGAGAGCACAATCCAAGAGAGCTTTGGACACTGTAATTGGGAATTGGTGCAGGAACACAAAATCTAGGAGAGCTGTTGAAATTACAGTCAGGAGAACATCTAGTGCGTGTCGTCGTCTAGTCTGGTAGACTGTAAGTTACAAATCGTTTATAGTGGATTGTTGACTGACAAAGTGCCCAAAGTTTTTACCCTGTTAGGTTTCTCCGTGATCAATTCTGTGTTATTTATTGCTTTCATAATTGTGATAATTCAACATAGGAAAATGTGAATTGCATGATTAACCATATAAAAAATAATTAATAGTGATTTGTTGCTAATTAATTGTAAAGTAATTTTAATTCTGCATAATTACCTATTCACCCGCTTTAGGTATTGTTAGGGTCGAATTACGCATTTTCATATTAATGACATGTAATTATCACATAAATTGATGCTTAATAATAGTGGTGATGAATATTATTATCCTATTGAATTAGGGTCTTCTAGTTGCAATCTCTATAAGTTTGATAATATAGTAATCAAGGACGAAATTTACATGCAGTTTTAAACTGCTCTACTGATTTATCTCCTTTAAATTCATCATCGAGCCATGCAGAGTAACCATCTTTCAAGTTCTTAACATTCTTGAACCCCTGCAAATATTATGATCTCAATTTTTTTTTCACAGAGAGATAAAACAAAATAGAAAAAAAAATGAAAATATTAAGTTATTTTGAAGAAATCTAAACCTACCAATAGTATTGGTGTCACTAGGAACAGATAACTTCGTAACACAAATCGTAGAAATGTTTTTCGTTCATTGCTTATATTTGAATACAAAAGAATATAACCATTATCTTCTTAAACTAAGAAGCAACTTTCTTCTCTAACTCAACAAAATTGAAAACCTAAATTATAAAATAAATAAAATAAATGTATAATTTGGGTAGCAATATAAATATACTTGGTTTGAATCTTTTTTTTTTTTTTTTTAAATTAAAAGAAACAGGTATAATAATGGGTAGTAGGGTTGGACAAAAGTCCCGAACCAAACCTAACCGAACCGAATCGAGCGGTTCTTCATAAATTAAATACCCGAACAGGTATTTGAATCGAGAATCGATGAGTTTGGTTCGGTTCTTGGTTCTAGACGAAGAACCGAATCTAAATAATTTTTTTATTTTTTAATATTAAATTAATTAAATAATTTTAATTTTTTCTAAAAAAAATTAGCAAATTTAAATAATTTTCTACTTTTTGGTATTTATATATATTGAATTAATCTTATTGGAAAACTTGTTATTTATATGTTTTTAAATTGGGTTACGTTAATTTGTAATAGTTACAAATGAACATGTTATTAGTTACATTTATGTAATATTGTTGTAAATGTTAAAAAATTTAATTATGGTACGGAACCGAATAGAACGGAACGGAACGGAATCGAACCCAACCCGAACGGTTCCATAATTATATTTGGACTCGACGATTCCATTTATTAAATACCCGAAAATTTTGGATCGGTTCAATTCTAAAGAGAACCGAACCGGACCATGTCCAGCCTTAATATATAGGCAAATGTGCTAATTTTTTGAAAGAACAGAAAGAAAACGAGGTGGCCTAGATTTTTTATTTTTATTTTTACAAATAGAAACTTTTTCAAGAAGAATCCATTAATTGGAAAAAATGAAAATAATTAATTTTTGTTTATCAATAATATGCTTAATAAAAAAATGATTGATGTAATAATTATAATTCTTTGTGCCTTGTTTCCTTAAATATTATTTCCTTTAACCTAACAAAAAAACCCTTATATATAACTTATAATATATACGTATAGAGTAATGATCTCCTAAACACCGTGCTTAATTTTTTATTATGCTTAAGCGAATTTCTTTATATTACTTACAATTACGTATTAAGGATTTAAAGATTCATAGTGGACAGATGCATGTTTTCGGGACATGAAATATATAGGAAAAAAAAAATAGAAGGTTTGTTTAGAAATTGGACCGACCGCATTAAGAAGATCAACACAAGCGCGGCTAGCTCTTCCTCCACTGTTACATCCCTGCATTAAGTATTATAAAATATTCCAAATTTTACTACACCATAGTATATGTGAATTAATTAATCAATAAATACTTGGCATACAATTAATCCAATTTTTTGGTTAGAAATTATATTTACCACAATTAGAGGATCCTCCTGTTGGTACACTGTTGAAACCTGGGACAAAAACTCTTCATTTTTCACCCTCCCTGCAATTCACCGGCCGTAAAATATTATTGTTTATCGAAATGAAATGTTTCTTGCAAATATTTTTCTTAAATATAGCCATCCAATCATGCAAAATATTGTGTGCCCTTTTATTAAATTATCATCTAGGCATATATAGTTGACAAGAAATTTGACACATCCTAAGAAGACATAATCACAAGCAATACTTGACATGTACTCTCTCTTCGAAGTCCATCACAATGAAAACTAAAATCAAAATTTTCTTTATCTAGGGCTTGTTTGAGCCCTTTTTTTTTGTCAAAAAATACATTTTATAATAGTGTTATGATGTAGAATATGTGGTTAAAAAGGGGAAAAATTTTGGATTTGCATGCAATATTATTTTATTGAAGAATGTATAGCTGAATGTAGTCAAATCACTGTTCAAGAATACATTTTAATGGAAAAAATGGGGATCAAACAATGACCTAGTATCAAACGGGAACTACAAGCAAATAAATAGAATTGGCTAAGCCCAAATCAAATTATCTAAAATGGAACGTTTTCCATTCGACATAGTTTTAATCAATATTCACTAGCTTACACTCACTTATTGTCTATATTGATGAGGAAAATTAGGGTGCCAAAATTGATTAGAAACTATCATTAACTTTGTCTAATTTGTTAAGAATATTGTCTAGATAGTTTAAAATTGGTGCAAGAAGAAAAAGAATTCCATAACACTTTTCAAAACAAAAGGTTATCTTTCGAAGAATTGGCAACAAGTTGAAAAGAGTAATGTTATTTAATACGACTAGTGTTTAACTCCAATTTAGGTGATAGCACTAGCGACATTAAATTACAGGTTCAATTAAATGAATCTCATCTTCACATAATGCCACATAGATTGATGCTAGATAGCATTATTCACTTAAGTTTGCACAAATTCAACCATTAATGCACTCACAATGAGCTTTCCCCCCTTTTCTCCCAACTCTTTGATCTTAAGAATGCCTATTTTATGAAGTCTAGCTAGGAATTCAATAGTCGAGGCGGTGAGAAAATTTATGGAAATATCTACCTTCTTGTGTGAGGAACATGTAAGGAACGTTCACTGCTTTGTCAATGTGGCTCTTGTTGAACTCTTCATTGGTCCTGATCATTAAAAAGAAAGAAAAAGTGATTTCGATTGGAAAATAAGTAAATTTATGATCCGATACAGCCTTATGTCCTTCGATCGGTTGCATCTCGAAATATTACTTATGCAATCAACAGCTCAGTGATTGACCAATGACCTAAAATCGAGAATTGAAAATTGCCATTGATGAATTACTGTTTGTCCCTTACCTTACATCTAAATAGCGGTGACCTAAACCAAGAAGTTCTTTTGCAGCCTCTACATCAACATTAACAACATCTTCAATGCTGAAAATTAAACAGGAAAATGAATTTTAAATCAAAATAGACAACATATAAGTAAAAATACAATTACTTAACATCAAAATTAAAAAAGTTACCTCTTTGTTGTATCCATGTAATTCTAATTTCTAGAACTGCAAGGAATTTGTCTTTCTTCTTCCGGAGGATTAATACGCCAATTGTCACTAAAAATTTAGAATTTATAAACCTATTGTTTCAGTTGACTTTAGCTAGAGTTGACTTTAATTTTATTTATTTATTTTGGGCTGCAACTAGAATTGAATAAAATAAGGAAATTTGCAGTGTTGTTTCAACCAATGGTGCTTACATTTAAAAATGTGCAATTTGGTCCCTGACAATTCAATTTTTTTCGTCATTAGTTAGTCATGGTTTCCAAAATTCAACAAAAAAATATGTTGAAGGTAGCATGTGAAAGGCGTGTGGAGCTTTGTTATTAGGTAAATTCGCTAAGAAATGAATAAAAGAAAAATTAAATTTGTCATTCTTACTACCTGTATCCGAAATGCCAAGACCAAGGTACTATTTTTAAAAGGTTGGAGACCAATTTTCTACAAGCACTATAGTTTGGGACCAGCATTGCAATTATTCCGGAAAATATTATATGTTACATGCATGTTTAACCCTCTCTTGGCCTCCTGGGTCAATGCTAGCTGTATTCTGTACTGTTTTATTGATAAACTATGGCAATTTGTTCTCGAAGTATATAGTAATTATTTGCTTCCACGGAAGCCACGATATAATTATATTTGTTATAAAATAGAAAAACATAGATAAGTTAATAAATTTGTGTGTATTTTATTAAGAACTAAAATTCTTATATTTATAAGAAAGAATTAGGACAGTAAGTTATACAATAGTTATTCATAAATACTACTTTATTTACCACACTCCTCCTTGAATGAATATTTACTAACAACCGTCTCATTAAAATATTGTTGGGCAAAAATTCGACGGGACAAAAATACCAAACAAATAGGGTCGTTCCTAATATTTGAGGGGTCTTATGTCAATTTCAAATATGGGGACCCTATAAATATTTTAAAATATATATGATGGTAATAAATAATAATTTATACTAAATAAAAATATTCAAAATAATAAAAATAATAATCTAAAATTTTCAAATTTTTATATTAAATTTAATCTTCTAGATTTTTTGATAGAAAAATCAACAATTAAACTATTATAATCAATCTGTTACAAAATTTCTTTGTCAACAAACAACATGACCCAATTCATTCAACATATCTTATGACATTGTTAATCAAATGTGTGATTTTATCAACTTTACTTTGAGAAGCTATTCTCGGCAAATGCAATTGTAATTATATAGTCAATAATATTCTATAAATAATCCACACATTTTGGAAACGAAAGTCCATCATTTTAAGGGTAATTAGTAGAAATGGTCTCTTTCATTTACATTCATTGCTAAAATAGTCCCAATCGTTTCAAATTTGATATTTATACCCTTATTTCAAACATTTGTTGTGAAATTTGGAACGGCTTACTTCAACGAGTGGTAACTTTCGCTATGGTTGCTCGTTTCGCACGCCGTTAGGGATGGAGGAAATTAGGTCGTGAGCACTTCGAAATGGTATTAAGAATGGAATATTTCGATTTTATTTGACATCCTGTAATAATCCCGTTAAATTGAGACAAAAAAAAAAAAAGAAAAATTCAAAACCATTTCGCCTCCTTAACAGAGGATTTAACAGAAGTGGATGGAAAGGGTCAATTCCTCAACGAAGGTTTGAAATAAGGGTATAAATATCAAATTTAAAACGATAGGGACTATTTTAGCAATGAATGTAAACGATATGGACCATTTCTGCTAATTACCCTCATTTTAATATAGTATAGCACTTCAACTGTCTTTTTGGTTTCTTCTGGCAAACAATTTCTCAAATTTGCAACTCAAAAATAACTCAATGATATCAAAAAATTTTAGAGCTTCAAAAATTCTTCAAACTTATCACACCAACACTTCAAAATATTATCTTCCATTTTTTAGAATCAAACAAAAATTAAAAAATATTTTCATATTTTTTGAAATTTTTCAAATCTTAAAATAAGTGAAGAAAGAGCATGATCAACATATTTAAGAAATAATCAACTCTAAAAGATTATTTGACTTGATGGTTTATCTCATAATTGAAATTTTCATCTAATTATTCTTTCTATGAATAATACGTTTTTCATGAAATGTATATGCAACTTCCATTTAAACAATAATTACTTTAGCAGCAATCATGATAGATTTAAATCCAATTTCTCGATATATTTCAAAAAGTAAAATAAGAGTTTTCAAGTGATTAGTAATAGATCAATAGACAAATCCTCAATTTAAAAATATTGCTTACTCTATTAATAATTGATATATATTGTCCCAAATTACTGTTCCAAACAAGGACTCAAAATTCATAATATCAAAAAATAAACTTTAGTATCTATAAATGTCTTAATGTCATTACATGTTTCTACCAAGTGTTTCAAAGTGATTTTTATTTTAGTGATTGAAATCTTATTGATTTAACACTTTCAACTTGACATTTCCAACGTGTTATACCCCAACCTCTTAAATCATCAATATCAAGTTCAAATATTGTAAAAATATATAATAATTCATCTAAAAGCCCAAGAATAACTAATCAAGAGGGAATGAATTTGTTTCTAAAACTTTTCGAAAAATTAATCTAAATTTAGGCAAGTAAAGACTAAATAGATTAATTCAAATAAAAAGTGCAAATATAGAAGCGATAAGTAAAATGGAGAGAGAATGCAAACGATATAATTGTGGAGGTTCGATCCAAAACAATGATCTACGTGCTCTGTTATCAAACTCTCCGGCACGAGTACAACATTTTCACTATATCCATTACCTTATGGTGCAATACAACTCTTTTACAACGCTTTCGGTGACTTATAAATAAGGAGCACCGATCCTTATACAATATTGATCTTTACGGGTCCTCAATATGACCCACACGGTGACTTACAATAAGGAGCACCGATCCTTGTTCTATTGAGCTTTCACTAAGTTTAGAGTAAATGGTTTTACAATGAAAACTTTCTTTTAATAAATGATACAAATGAATTAAATACTTAGATAGACTAACACTTTAATAAATAGTAATAAAAGATAGCTCAAATGTTAAATTGAAAAACTTTGATGTCTGTGATAATTAGAAATTTGATTCAATCAATTAAAGCTTTTCAATGAAAAGATGAAGAAGAAATAATATAATGTAAGTTCAAAAATCTTCTCAAAATATGTATCTCTTTTAATGAATGAATGTAAAAAATTAAGTACCAAGAAAGATGTGAGAAATTTTGATGAATATGATGATTTTACAAGTTTGATTCAATCAAAATTTTCCATATGAAGAAGTAGAAAAAATATATGCAATATAAGTTTAAATATCTCCTTCAAAATATATCTATCTTTTATTGAGTAATGGAAATAAGTTAAGTACAAAAGGAGAGATGAAATACTTTGACGAATATGATGATTAAATATTTTGAATCAATCAAAGTTTTTGATATGAAAAAATAAATTCAAATGTAAGGTTAAGAAATCTCTCAAAATATATCTCATTTTGTTGCTTTCGAAAGTCTTGTGAAGAATGGAAAGTGTAAGGGTATTTATAGAGTTCAAAAAGCAAAATACTCTGTCGAACTGAACATCCACATTTGGATCCAGATGATTAAAATAACCGTTATGCATATGAAATTTAACAGTCAAAAATCTAACCGTTGAATCAATTAGACGTCCGCATTTCAAAATTTATAGAGAGAGATTTTTTAAAACTTTCTGGGGATCTGAATGATAAACTGGACGTCCACATACTAAGACCGAACATCTTACTGTTCAGTCGATTTTTTCATTTTTGAACCCGTTTGACCCGATTTGAATATTTTGACAAATATAGACTTTTGAAAAGTGTTTTTAACTAGTTTTCAAGATAAATGATGTTTTAAAAATATGATCTAAGTACAAACGTCATTCTGAAAATTAATTTTACTTTTGATCAAAATATTTTATATGAGTGATAATCAAAATATCTTTTAGTTCACAAAATTATTTTTGAACTTTTATCATTCATCGTTAATGGTCAAAGTATTAGTACATTTACATCTAAACTAAGAAATCTAGTCTTTGATCTTGTTTTGAGCTTTGCCTATGAGGCTTTCATCTGATCTTTCATTGACCTTTGAGTTTAAACTCTTGATCTTGATCTTTCTTGTGAATCCGATTTGATAGTCTTGATATTAATCTTTTGACGATGATCGATTAATTTATCATTGAATGCTTTGAAAGCTATATTCACTTAAATTCAATTGTTAGAAAACAATATTAACTTGTTTGTTATAATCAAAATTTTATGGTTACAGTCAACCATGGGTCAACATCATCAAACAATTCTTGCCCTTGAGCGTCATTAAGAAATACAGAGAAAAACTCTTTTGCTTTAATAGGACTTACTAAGATACCTACATAATTAAGCTTTAAATACTTCTACAATACATTTTAATTTAATATTAGTGTGTTTGCTAATTGGACAATTGAATTGGCTTGGTTGATTGCATTTGGACTTTATTTTGTTTGTAATTTTTTTAATGAACTGTATGTAATAATTTGTTTTGGAGGCCCTCATAAAAGTGAGGCCTTAGGCTATTGCTCCTCCACTTATAGTCAAGGCCGCAACTGCAAAAAAAATTGAAAAAAACTACAAATAATTTGGAGTGATAAAATGTTGTCTCGTTAAAACCTTGCCAATAAACCTAATGAGATAAAACTTGAGCGAAAGAAAAGAGTACAACTGTTCCCCCTAATATCAATAAATGAAGATTCTTCTATCGAACCATCAATGTATTGTACATCAATGTCTTCAATATCGTAATTTATATGAAACATGTCTCATGTTTCTTGTATAGTTTTCAAGCAATATCGTCTTCATAAATGATATTGATCATTCTTTTTTCTTTACGTCAGTATGATGATTTGTTGAAAAATAGATTCTATTGTTGATCTCTTTGGGGTCGTTAAATATTATTAAGAAAAATCCTAATGAAGGAAAAATATATATTATT